GAGGAGGACTGCAGCCAACACGCTGCTGTGGGAGAGCCAGGTCGGGCAGAAGCAACAGCTGAGATTGACAGCAAACACAGATATAGAGCTGTATATATTATTCAGTTACTGGCTACAAGGATCTTATTCTGTGGGAGACACTGGACATGGATGTAAACTACAACTTGACAGGTGGGAAGAGGCGTACAAACGTGAGGCAGTCATTTTAGATCCTCTTTTTTTGTGAAAGACAAACAAATAGCAAGAACTACGATTATCGAGCCACTCAATGTTGATTTGTCAGCCATGCAGCAAAGGCCAGCAAAATTCAAAAATATAATCACAATGGAGCCATGAAGCTACAAGGTCTTCACACTAATGGTGCACCATCTAAATGGTTCTCTAACTCCCTGGAACATCTCCATGAATGCTTCTCTTTAGAGGTTTTTTTACTTTGCAGTCAAGATATAAAATGCCTCAAAAAGAGCTCCCATCTTCATTTTAAGGATTTTTTTTGGAAGTAAGATTTCACTCTTGCTTCTCAAACCTTGAAACCTCCTCTCCGCTCTTTCTTTACACGGCCTCCAATCCACCCACACCAACAAGTGATGAAATGCCCAGAAGATAAAAAGAACTGGAATCTCAAAGGCTCTGTTAATATTATTTTCTTTTTCCATTCAGGTGTTTTATTCATTTAGTTTTTTTTCCAGCAGACATTAGTTGTTTTATTCTGCTGTGAATAAATATTCATACCAATTCACAAAATAGGGGAAATATTGAGAAAAATATCAGAAAAATTATTCAATTCAAAAAATATTATTCAATTATTTCCATTCTCTCCGTCTCTATAATAGTCGGTGGGGTGGCTTCTTAAAGCCTGTTTTTGAGCACAACTGCGACTTATTCTCTTAATTGTGAGTTTGATTCACTACATTTTTCTTGTTTCATAATGTTTTTGACTTGTATTTATTTACAGATTTTAACTTCATATACATATAAGCCAACTTCACCTCAAATAATCAACATTACTCAGTGTTCTTATTCTTCAGACTCTTAATTTATCATATGATTTTTATGTATATTGTATAAAGTTCACTATCATTATTATTATTATTACACTATTATCATTAATCACTGTTTGACCCCCATGCATAGACATTGATTCATTCATTCCTTAATCCAAAGTGCTCTAACAACAGTTCAGAAGTACATCTCAGTATATTTCAGTGCACATGAAATATGCATGACCTAAAAACTATAAAACTTTGATACTGTTATTGTATCTAGGACAAGGGTATCATTTTCACCTGTCTTTATATTGACCTTTTTCATTTCCAATTACAACTTTTTAATGTCACAATCGTACGGGAAAGGTTCTCTGATGTTATGTGCTGCACACTTGTCTACTTTTCCCAGCATCCTTCACTGGACGATCATTTATCGTTCAGTGGAAAACATGATCTATTCGTTCTAAAACAGTTTGGATGTATCATAAATGCCTTTTTAAACACAGTGATAGTGATTATTGATAAAATATATTTTTTCTTATTAAAGTCCATTCTAATTTCTTTGTGGATGTTGCTGTACACTGACTGAGCACATGATGGCTACCTGACATTCAATACATTTTGTTTACACTAATGGTAGAAAAACACAAACCTGCAAGTTTGTATCAGTGTTTGTTAAAAATGTAGCAGAATTAAATAATTGTATTCTTCATTAAATTCTTACTGTAACGACGTTACACAGGAGAACGCACCAATTAATGCATAGACAGACGAGACACACAACCATTCCCCAACAGCTTCACCTGTAACTTCCTTTTAACAACCTAGAGAAGCAGCTGCCCGCCTCATACAGTCAGGAGCCCATAATGCACTAGGAGCCCCTGTGCATGCCTGGTGTTGGGATTTAATTGGATATTAGTATCCAGCAGTGTCTGAATTAATCAAATCATTTTCATCCATTAATTTAGTGGAGGAACATACAATTACAGCCTTATTAGTGTGCTCTCAGGAGTATGCCTTTTCATCCCTCTGCAGAACATTGAGAGTTGGCCAGAGTCCAGTGCAAAGCCTTCTCCCCGCTTAAATCTGGTGCTTCCTCGTGAGTCGACGGCAATTCTGTCCATCTATAGAAACTGGCTACAAGCTTAACGTGAGGAAAATGCCCAACTATAGGAATACATTACTTTTGCACTGGCTATAGGAAAGGTTCAAATGTCTGCATTGTTGACTTCCACCATTTGCTAGATTATGAAATTATGAGGTCAGAGGACTGAAAAGTTTTAGATTAATTCTATTTGGTGAAACAGTACTTTGAAAACCAGCACAAAAAATGCCCTAAGTAGGATGAAAAGAGATTTGGAGATTTAGGCAGCAAGCAAATATAATCCAGCTCACTAATGTAGGTCATTTTATAATAATATCCACATTTATAAATTTAATATAAATTCGATTTCCTCTATAAGGGTCTTACAGAGTCAAGATATAAAATATAGGCATTAAATCTATTTGTTTTGAAAAGAAAACAAGACTGAATTTTACAGTCAACCATACTGGCCGCCTGGTTTAAATAAACGATAAGGTCAAATAAATAAACATTGTAATTCTGGTTGGAATGAGTCTTTAGTTTTACTTCTTTTTCCTCTCTCGTAAGTCAGAGTCAAAACGATTTTGCAAAAAATAATCCAGACTGCTCAGATGAGCAGCCACTTTTAATTAAAACCATTTACAGAGGAAACCAAAGTGAAAGGGAAAAAAGGAGCCATGGGATTTTACTCTCCGTCATCCAAGGCTCCAGTGGATCAAAGAGTTTTTGGTTGTGCTTTTTAATGGTTTTGGTTACATAATCCTTTTTTTTTTTTTTTGCATATGAGATATTGGGCCTGAGCACCGTGCAGTTGGCCCAAGGCGCGACACGATCAGAGATTGCCCCTGCAGGGCACTTTCAGATTTCAGGCAGGATACAATAAGTTTCTGTTTATGTCTCAGTATAGCTGTCAATCAATACAATAGTACTGGTGTAACTGGACACTCTAAGTAGGCAGCAACCTCTACAAAAATGTTACATTCCTACATTCGAGCCAAGACATCCCTGTATGTGTGTTTGTGTGTGTGTGTTAGCATTAATTGTATGCACTGTATGTATTTATATGTGTGTTTGTGCCTGTCTGCTGCTCTGCCGGCCTGGCTGGCTGCCATGTGGCCCATCTCTAACTGTCATCCTGTCTGACATTAGGGCTAAGCTGGATCTCATTAGGACCAAGGTGGCAGTGATCCCGTCAACATCGCTTTGGCTCCTGCCATATGGGTCGCCTCCAAGGTAACGGCTGTATCAGTCTCCTCAGAGCTGCAACCCTTGTTATAGCACACACACACACACACACACAGACAAACACACACACACAGTATCTACTCTCTAGAAGAGTGTGTACCATACACATAAACCTGATTTAATATGTCGAACGCAGGAGACACAATAAATGACTGATGATAAGATAATTGGGTCAAATGAGATGCAGAATAAGAAAAATACACTGATTGGCTCAAGAACACATTTAGATATACTCAAATTTCCGTTGCATTTGTGCACTTCAGTAAATAAGATGTTGATGAGCTGTGCGAATATGCAGTGTTGAAAAGACATCCCCAAAACCTTCCCAACATGTCCCGGCTGTCTGACACAGCTGAGCTGAAGAAATCGACAGACTACTGAAAATGGCAGCGCAATCAGAGCAAAGTCAGTTTCTACAAATTCAATCAGGAAAACTTTTTTATCTAATAAATCTCCATTTTAAGATCCTGCGCAACATCACTGCCCAAACTCAGTCTGGACTTGTCATGGTCGAGACACAGTCAAACGTACACCAATGTCCCGCCAATGTCAAAAATAGTGCTGTATAATACTTCTCATACAGCGAGCGTCTGACTCTTATCAAAGCCGAGTAAGCAGGGAGTCATTTATGACTTTGTTTAGTGCTTCTTTGCTCCAGCTCATAAAAGCTGCGAATTTATGACGTCCCATGCATAAATAGATGATAGCAATGTATTTCAGAAGAACCCCAATAGACAGCCGCTGTTATTTAAAAACATAAATATCACATCACATCCAAATTACAGGACCACAAACCTTTCTTCTGATTTACTGTAAACAAACAGCAGCGTCTCTCACTGTCGGGTGAATACAGTGCACACACAGGCACACACGTATCTTCAGATCGTGGCTTTGATATTCAGCGTTATTAATCACGCTGACAATAATTCAACTTCACATGCAACTAGGACACCAGAATACATTAGAAGCACAACTGTGTCAAAGTTGCCCTTCGCCAGATTGGCGGCTATTATAGATTTTTCTCCCTTCGGCCTGTTTGTTTTCTTTCAGCCCCCACCCTCACCAAAAGCAACTGTTTATTTAATCAGTTTGGCAACAAAAGCATGTGATCAATCATTCATAATTTATGTTGCTGCCAATGGCCCAGGGCCCATAAAAACAGATATTTGCGTTACACAAGGTCTTACGGACCAATTAATTGTGTGGCTGTTCATACACACAAGCCACTGATAAGAGGTAAACTTTGTATCTGTATTACAGTAGGACACAGGGCAGGGCTAGCAGAGATGATGTTTTGATCACATGCTACTATAACAATGACCTGGGCCTCGTCTTTTAATTCCTGTTCCCCCCAGCCAGCATCCCGCTGCCTTTCCCAAGCTCTGCTGTTGTTGTTATTTAGCACTTCTCAAAGCAAACGCCCTAAATCCCTTTTGTAATATGAGTCTAACTGTAACAAACTGGCTCTTCATTTATCTGATCCTTTAAAGAGGCAGGCTGCTGGATATTCTACAGGTACAGTCATAGAAAGAAAACATGAAGGAAAATTGAAACCTCCTGCTCTCTGTAAAGCTAAGCTTGCACGCTTATCACAACTCATAAAAAACATCACAGTTTTTCAGCGGGACATCTGGCGGAGATACACTGAAAGTCAGACAGTATGGAGACGTCTTCATTGTCCTTACCTTGACATGTTGTCTGTGATGCAGTTTTGACCTGGGTATCCTTCACCTCGGGCTGACATGCCTGGTCGAGATTTCCACGATTCCATTAACGCCGTTACGGGTGAAATTAGGTTCAACAAAGGGTTGGACTGGTCCCTCACATCATGCCGCGTGAAAGACATTGTTCCTTGGGCTCCAATCTGGTAATGGAATGAGTGTCCACCGGAATTAACTCCAACAATGGCCGATGTGGGCATGCTGTTATTCTCTTGGTAATAGCTGCCATCAGTAGGCTCCTGCTTAACCCCTTTAGACAGGACATTGTTGGAGAACACATCAGGCTCATAGTTCCCATTCATAGAGACAGGGGGTCCTAAGATACCAGAAAGACTGTATTCATCGATGTTATTCCTCAGGGACAAATAGGTGGTCTCAGACGCAGAGAAGAGTCCAAGAGAAGGTGACTGCTCGCCATAGGGCTGTGGATTCATACATCCCTCATTTTTGTTTGGCTCATTCTTAATCTGCGTAATAAAGGGTGTGCTACTCACATTACATTTAGAGCTACCTAAGCACATGCTCCTGAAGTCAGTTCCTGGCTCATTCTTAATGTACTTAACCATGCCCATCTGGTCTAAGCCGACGTTGAACACCTCCCCGTCAACCATCTCTACTTTGGGGAACTCAAAGTTCTTGAAGTCTGTGTCTCTGGTCAGAGCTGTTTCTTCTGGGCTGTTGGTGTCGTTCTGTACCAAACCCAGTCCACCTGCAGGACTGGACACGGGAAACCCACCAGAGGACGGGTTCTGTGGGCTGCTGACAGCCATAGTGCTTCCTGTGGCTGGACTGGAGATGGAAGGCCGTGCTGTGTTGCAGTTGTGTGCAGTGCTGGTGCAGCTGCCACCTGTGGGGCTCGAGACGGACGACCTAATGTTACACGTAGTGCTGCAGGACGGAGGCGATCTCACACTGCTCATACTCTGGGGGCTGGACATCGGAGACCTCATGACATTAAGTGGGCTGGTTAGTGGTGGTGAGCCCACAGTGGTGGACTCTACAGGGCTACATGTGGCTGAATTCCTACGCTTGATGTTGGCCAGAGTTGCAGCACAAGAAGTCTGGCTAACAGGACTACTGACGGATGAACACCCTGCTCCAAAGCATGTAGGAGGACTGGTGGTTGATGACACCATGTTGTTGCTGCCCCCGGGGCTGGAGATGGAGCCGGGGGTCTGGGGGCTGCAGGACAGAGATGAGACCAGCATAGATGCTGAGCTAACAGGAGTCCCAGTGGTGCACTCTCTGGGAGTGGCGTTGGACTGCTGAAAACCAAATGGCTTTATCTTGGGGCTCTTAGTGGTACCACTCTGGGTCTCATCTAGAGACCGTCCACACACGGGGTACATCTTCCCAGGGCTGGTACTGCCCCCATGCTGACTGAAAGCAAAGTCTGCCTCCCTGGCAGCATTCATATACAGACCCATGGACTCAGCCACAGTCTTGGAAAGCTCCTTGGAGTCCATTTCCTGCTTATGACCGTGGAGAGAGTTGTTGAAGTGTGGGACAACAAATGGCTGGTTCTGGCCAAGCCGAAGCATTGGCTGCTCCTGCTTCTTTGTGTTGATGTCTTTGCTGTCGGTGGCTGCACTTCCAGCCGGGCAGCTGACATTGACTATGTCCATCAGAATATCGGTGCTCGTCAGACTCAAATCTTCTGTGCTGCAGCAGTACTCCATGGTGCCGGGGACCTGAGACCATCTGTTCTCTGTATCGCTTCCATCAAAGAAACTTTGGTATCTTTTGGTCTCCATTGCTGGCTCATTGATTCACCTGGTAAAATAAGGCAGATGAAAAAAGAGAGAAAAGATTGAGAAAAGTACACCATACATTATTTAATGTTCAACAACATTGGATTAATGACAATAATGAGTTTAGTGGCAGGTGTATGAGATGTAGGCAGTTTGCCTTTAGGCAGGTCTTATGTACACTGAAAAAAGAAAACTGTTGTACCAACTTATAAAAATAACACAAATGAATTAAGTTGCTGTAGTTTAAATTGAAGTTAGAGTTAAGTTAAGTTTTATTAAATTATGTTAACACAATTCACAAGTTCAAAAATAACTATTTGCTTGTTTCCAATTGAAGTATTTCAAGTTGCTAAACATTTTTTTCAGAGTAAGATTAAATCATGTGTTCGATAATGTGAAAATCTATTTTTAAATCTACAGTGAGAATTTAGCATTTTAATTTCACGGCAAAGCTGCAAGGCAAAACTGATGAGTCAAAGGAGGCAGGACAGAAAAAAAAGCAAGAGTTAAGTAGTAGAAATCTTTCTTTTAAACATATTTTAAATGATCTGGATATCAGATGACTTACCTTTTAAGAACACATGACAAAAAACTGACAACAACGGTGTGTTAAATGAGTTGTTCTCTCTCAAAAGTCCAGTACAGTATCTCCTCTGTCTCAAGTGAAGCTCTGCTCGCTGCTCCACAGGGGACGTACAGTGACAACTTGAGGAAAGACGCATCGTAAGAGTTAATGTGTCTGTGTGACGTCGACTTTTTTTTTTTTTGTTGTTGCGTTAACGTCCCACCTCTGCTGCGCTCCTATTGGTCAGCTGAGCCAGAGACCCAGCAGGCTCCAGCAGGCTCCAGCAGGCCACGCGTGGATTGGTCGGACAGCTGTCGCTCAATAGTTATTGCTCTTGCAGCCACAACATAGCTGCGACATAACTTGAAATGTTGTTTTAGCAGCCGGAGCAGCCCCGTCATGTGCAGAGGCAATAATACACATATATATACAGCCGATAATTACCACGTTTGACTGAAGCAGTTAGGACGATCAGGCGTCTTCTTCAGATCATGTTCCAGTGTTTGTTTTTCTCCTCCCTGGACATCTGCGTTAAAGTTACGCACTGTCAAAAACCACACAGGCCTGAATACGTGCACATGCTTGAATGTAAAATGATGATATATTAAAAAGCTCGATTGCTCCTGCGCTCCTGCCGTGATTGTCCTGCCTCTGTCTGTCTGGACATGCAACTCTCCGCATCTCTCTCCATTTTGCCTTTGCGCAGAATTAAAACTAAAGACGCTGCAGTTGAAGTATTTTTTTTCTGGGTGCAAATCAGAACATTTAGCGGATTTATGATTGGGAAGAAGTGCAACGGGAAGAAAATACATATTGAGTGGTGTTTTTTTTTTAATAACTGGTCGCACTGGATCTCTCCGCACATCGCAGGTGCGCAGAGAAATGTAGATCTGTCGCTTTTGTTAATAAACTGTCGTGCGTAATTATTGTTTGTGCGTTACCCAGTCTGCACAAAGTTTGATCGTGGAGCAGATCCCGGTTGAAAGTTATTGCATTTCTCTTCCGCTGCAAATAGACACGGAGGAGGATGCAAAGTATTGAGCCACGGGACCTGAGGAGTTTGCGTGAAAAAAGACGCACAGTTTGGCACACATGGAGCTTCCTTACCTTTGATAACGACATTCAGAGTTGTCAGGTGGGTGTGTTGCTGGGCAGCGGTATTCCAGAGAAGAACAAGGAGGAAAAAACACGCAGAGCAACCAAAAAAAATAAAAAAAAGTCAGTGGATGTCAGAAGGGAGACACGCGTCAGTCTAATTCATAGTTTTCGGCTTGACAGCTGGGAGAGGAGGAAGAGGAGGAAGAGGAGGAGGAGAGAAGTCTTAGCTGCGTATTATCACCGGTGTAATCCTCGGCAGCGCAGCCGCTGCTCCTGACAGGACGAGCAGGCAGCGACGGGCTCGGACGACAGCGGCGGATCATCTCACATTATGGCCGCAGGATTCTGCACAGCGCGCGGCTCTCTGGGATTATCTCTGGGGGGGGGGAGGAGGAGGAGGAGGAGGGAAAATGAAAATAAAAGAAAAAGTGATGATTTTTAAAAACGAAAAGAAAAGAAAGAGGCGCAGGAGTCAGTGCGACGTCATCGTGTGCACATGGACCCTTCTTCTTCTTCTTCTCCTCACTGCAACGAGTGCAACACAAACTCCCAGGAAGGGGGCGGGGGGAGGTGGGTGAGGGAGGGAGGGAGGGGAGGCAGAGGGGAGGGGCTCAGGGCGCAGGTACAGTCTGGAAATAGGGCATGGAAATAAAAAAAATAAAAAAGTCTCAGACTCTGCTCGGGCTTTGAATAAAACATCTTCTGCAACTTTCTCCTGCAAATCTCTCACTTCATTTCATTTTCTGACAAGCCCTCCTCCATGTGGGCCACGTGCACGCGCACCCCCCTAACAAGTTGCATAAGGGTGTGTGTGTGTGTGTGTGTGTGTGTGTGTGTGTGTGTGTGTGAGTGAGTGAGGGGACGGTGGGGGGGGGGTCGTCACTTTACAACCAGCAACACGCAGGAGCATGTAGACCCCTGCAAACACTCTGCTGTCGAAGACTGAGATCAGCCACGACGGAGCCCTGTCACTGTGACGACTGCCTCCACCAGGTGGAGCAATATTTCTATTGCTGTTCCCAAAAAGAAAATGTATTAAAGGTTTGGAGATGTCACTTTAGTTAACATCAAACTGAGATAAACTACTTCACTTCACACCACTCACAACACAACTACTCAAATAAACTCATATGAATACATACAATAATGTACAAATAACTAACATGATCAACCATCAAACACAAAATTACTTGGAGGATGATGATGCTCATATCTATTCATTTATGTGTTGTGAGCTGATGAAACACACCATTAAAATGAATACTGTTTAAAAGGATAGATTAGAGGAGCACTCAGAGCTCAGCCAACAGTCCGCTTAAATTCATCCAATCTGCACCAAAGTGTGCACACCTACAGACATCAGTTCCCTAAATATGCATGATTAAATCAAGATCTGTAAATTATTCCCTGCGAAATTAGTGTAAATGTCTTAAAACACTCAATATTTCAATGTCAAAGAACGTGAAAAAAAAAACCAGCAAAAGGTTTATGGGTCGTTCTTGGATCACCCTCCACAAAACTTCATGGAAATTGGTGGAGTAGTAACAAACAAATAGACAGGGGTGAAAACATCACCTCCTTGGCGGAAGTGAAACAATTCTAAAATTGATGTACATACACATTTTGCTCAGACAACAGTCAAACTGTCATTCTGTGATATCAGTGTAGTTCTGAGATATGCTTGGATGTGAGAAAAGTACAATGTGCGCGTGTTTATCTGTGACAACCACAAAGATGATTGTGACTCCAACATTCGGATTAAGGTGTTTACATTTTACTGTCGACAGCTCATGGCGTTGATGTGGGTGTAGGCTTTGGTTTTACTCCAGCAATGTCCAATAATCAGTTTAATCTGTGGAGTTGTCAGTCAGTCGAGTCCCATTCTGCAGTGTTTCACGTGGCTTAGTGAGATGCACGCAGGACTTGTGGACATCTAGAGCGGATCTCTGCTTGGCTGTATGCCTGCTACTCTTCATTGCTTGTCTGGGTTTTGCGAGCCAGCCTGTAGCTAAGTGAGGCAGCAGCAGTTAAATTAGTCAAAGCCATCCAAGCAACACTGCCCACCTCCCTGATCTGCCTGCTAATCACCCATGAACAGGGACCTGCTTCATAAAAAGCAGCAGAATTGAGATATATCCCATGTTTCCCACCCTTACTCACGCAGCTCCCACTTGTCCATGGCTGCCCGTCAAACACATCATGAGCAAATCTAATTTAGCTGTGCATCACAGACTTTTTCCTCAGCGACAGAGTCAGAGGAATTCGCAGACTGACATCAGAGCACGGCTGATCTGAAATCAGTTATAATTGGCTGCCTCTCTGGTAAAAAAAAATTGAAGTTTGCTCCATCTCACCGGGGCTTTTCCCATCGTTCCAGTCGAATCGATGATAATCACGCTGGCCTGAAAACATTGTACATACATGGGAGCTAAGAATAGCCATCGTTTGGAGGGGAGGGATTCTTTTGGATGAGTGACTGCTATGTTTAGGAGCCGACTTCCACTCCAGTTTAGACTCATAACAGACAACTCCAGTTGCTGATAGGGCCAACGGCATAACAGAGAGGTGCTTGCTGTGCCTCATGGGGACAAGTGAATTGGAGCATGTTAACTCTGAAACAAAACACTCGTCAACTCAGCAGAAGACCCTGTTCCCATCGTTTGTGATAATTACAGAGCTTGTTTTAATCAGATGCTTATTGTTCCAGTGTAGCAGAGTTTTTCATAAGGAATATTCGTATCTAAATAATGTATTTCCCCTTCTTTCTCTAAACTTACTGAAACAAATCCTGATGGGCTGTCAGGTGGATCAGTGAACTGTCAAAAAATCCGCAAAGTTTTAACTGACCCTCTCTGTGTACCTGTTCATCCAGGGTGTAAATTGTAGCATGCTAGCACATGTGCTCCGTCTGGTCTCACCATCCAAAATGTAGTGGTGGCAGCAGACAAAGGCGCATCGTGGGAGATCGAGGGACGTGATGGCAGACCATTGAGTCTAAATAAAGATGGACAACGCATATCAATGTCCTCCCACAATCCAGAAATGAGGCAAACATTTCTGAGATACTAATGCTGCCATCATGCACCAGTGACGTGATGACATCAGAGTCTGCGGTAGTGATCAGGGGGTGGAGCTGAAGCTGCAAGCTCCTTGCCAACCAATTAAACAGGATCAGGTCGTAACCTTTCCAACCATGCATGCTACCTTCAGTGGTACTGTATCTCTGCAACGTGATACATTCACAACTTTGATATAAAGTCAAAACTGTCATTACGTCACATTCTGTGGAAAATCTTAAGTATTTTTTAAATATATTAAACAAAGAAACTTAGATTTTTGCTACTTTAATTACTTTCCAACATTTTACCACCCCGGCCATTACTCCTGGTGAAAAAAGCATGCTGCATGTACTACATTTAATGCCTTACCTTATATATGGCAACTCAGAGCCCATCTGTTCAACCATCACACATCTTTTTTTCATTAAATGTGCCCATTTGCTGCAGTAAACACTTTTCCAGCTTTGAAGAGAAACCTGGTCTGGTTCTGTGTCTGAGGGAGACTTTAGTATCGGCTGTATCTGGCACACAGACCGAATAACCTGGATGATGGAACTCAAGCCTATGAAGGTCAGACATTAGACTATACCATATGCCAGTGAATTTTAAATGGGTTGCTATGGGAACTAGCATGTTTTATATCTGAACTCTACAGGGTCAGTGTATGTGTGTTTTACAACATAAAAAAATAACCTTGGGCTAAGTGTTTATTTAAAATCCGTGATAATGAATATTTTTGTATGAAAACAGACAAAGACATTTATTACTCACTGACAGAGATTATAGGCAGGAAAAAATCTCTTCCTATCATGATATGATTTTCATATAAGATTGATATTCTCTTATTTCTGCACTTAACTCATCCTGGTAACAAATTAAATCCCATTTTCACAAGTTAAGCAATCACTGCTATATCCGATATAATTGAAATAGTGTAACTGGTATAGAAACAGTCAAATACATGGAGAGTTGAGGAGCTTTACAACCAACTTGCAAAATTTTAATTAATGCACCCGGAGGTATAATTACAGAGAACATCATTAAAGTGTGACTGTAACAGGGGGAAAATTCACACACACACTAAAAGATTTCAAAAACAAAAAAAGGCGTAGTCAACTGATTCCAGATTAGAATCAACAAATACAAAGAACTGTATCCTCGTGGAGAAATTGATCATGTTTCAGTGCATTATCTAAACGTGTGTAACTCAAAGTTAAAAAAACCAAGTGCACATTATGCAAAATCTTTGTTTGTCTCTCGTGAGACTCAGACAACGTAAACAAGGCCACCACCCAGTCCCACTTATGACACAGATTGCTGTTCACCTTAAGTTGCCCTACTACACAGACGGCACGAATCATTTAAATGCTGAATGATATGCATTCAGCCTGCCTCCCTGCAAAAAGTCTCTCATACTATGTGTGCACCACCTGGGGTTTGTTCATCCCACTTAAGCAATGACGATTGAGATCATGTTGATGATTAAATAACATGTTTACCCTCAGCGTAGTCAGGAATACATATTCAGTGGGAACACTGCGTATAGGCTACAGCCTGACTTCAGATCACATTATTAACACGCGGAGAATTATCACTAAATAATGTGTTGTTCAACAAAACTGTGTCAAGTACATTATGAATTGATATTCCTGGTGTCAGCTTGCAAACATAACTCTCATCCTGCTGCACCTAGATGCCAAGCTTTAAAAGTGAATGCTTGGATTGCTATTTGAGGATGTTTAGGTGTTGTGATGTGGCTGCACTTCATTTTGATGTGTGGCATTTTGAGCAAGTAATTTAGAAATGTTTGATAGAACACTCGCAGTTAGTGCATCTTTAGAATTATGAGTTAGTAGTCATCAGGGAAATGAAGGTATAGATTAAAACTGTGAAATCATTGATAGGTTTTTATCGTAGCAATTTGTTTTATAGTGAACACGGGTTTGGTTTGGCATATACCTCAGGTAACAATTCTTTATCAATGCAGTTCATTAGTCTTACAGATGAAACAAATTCAATTATCTTAATATGAAATACACTGCATACATATTAATGTCTAAGTCATATACTATCCACATACATATAATAATAATATGGTGCTTTAAAGGTGGGCTCATGCAAACTGTAAATAATAAACTTAGCACTAAGTTATTTTAAAATACTCTTCTCCAAATAAAACTTAAATAATATTACTTGCAGTACAGAGACACACATGTTACAGTAGCAGTCGTTTCTCAACGTAAACTTCAGTGTTGTTGACTCGCCCTAAAGGAGAGAGGGAGGTAAAGCGTCACACAAACAGAATGTCAGAGCAGTAGCCACAGAAACAGCCGAGCTCAACGTGTCACTCTGCCTGGGATGTAATGTAGAGATACAGTAGACGAGTCGGACCACACAACAGGAGGGGGGAGGATTAGAAAAAACACCTTTACTCTGATGCACTGTCTGGCTGTTTGTGTGTCAGTTATAAAGGTCACCTCCTGCTCCTCTGTCTGTCAAATACGGTGCACACATCCGCATATGTGCAACTTCGCCAAGAGATAAAATAGAATTAAGAAAAAAAACAAATATAGACAGAGAAGCAAAATGAATCCCATCTGAAATGTACTTCTAAGCGTCTGTGCTTTTCATATGGAAAAGCTGTGGTGCTGTGGTGTGTAACAGTGGGTCTCTGGTGACCCTCGCTGAAGTGTGTGTGTCTGTGTGTGTGTCTGTGTACAGTGTTTGCACATATGGCTCTGTGCTGATAATTTGTGAAAACATATTTTGGCCTATTTTCAAACTCTTTCTCTTTTTTTTCCCAGCAAATTTTTCCACGTGACCTTTGGTCAGACCGACTGATAACAGTGTTTACTTGATTATCAGAAGCTTCTTCACGTGTTTCTGCTTGTATTTGTTTTTTATATCCTGAGAGGCAGTTACAGTACAATATATATCCACTCCAGTTACATTACAAAGTCCCTCTTTTAAAACTCTCCTAAAGACTCATTTTATGTGTGTGCTTTGTCCTTGTTCCAATCTCACCTTCTAGTTCAATGATTTTATACATATATGTTTAATTCTATCAGGTTTTTATGTTTTCCTAATCTTAAATTTATTTCTGTATCTATGCTCTATTGCTTTTTAACTGTTTCCTATTTTTTTACCTTCAAATTTTAAATTGTAAAGAGCCTTTTAACTGTAGTGAAAGGAGAAAATTTACTTTTACTGACTAAACCAGTCCAAAAACAGAAAATAAATATAATCATAATAACCAAAAGACTCAGGTTATGAGCAATGTTTATATTATCCTCATGTTTGGTCTTCTATATGCACCTTAACCAAGGCAGTGGAAGTAGTATTATGATGTTATGTGTGAACAATGCAAGTGAAGGTTGAAATCCCCATTGACCAAATTTGTATTTTAGCTTTTTGACTTTTTTGTGGGGTTTTTTTTGCACTTCATCTCCCCATTTCCTGTCCATTCACTTATCTTACTATTACTGTCAAATGCCTGAAAAATACTTGAATTGGACAGAAACCAACCTCTATTTGTTATTCTCATTTTTTTTTCTCTTGGCATTCTTTGTCTACTCTGCACTCTCTCTCCCGTGTGCACTCAGTGACCCACCTCAGCCTGAGAGCAAATAGCAGGCCTGGTTGTCGGAGACTTGCCGGGGCCAGGGTGCAAAAGTTGAAATGACCTGAAAGGGTTGTGTTGTACTGTACATACTCCACAGAGAGATCATATGGACCCAAAATAGCTCAACAGCACACATCGCAGGAAAAACATGACACTTCTCCACCCGTGCAAAAGAACAGGGACCCTGCACACTATTGTGTTTTGTTCTCTCTGATAAAAGATAAAAGATAAAACACATCTCAGATGTAAAACAAGTTTTCTCTGTGTTTTCCAAATGAACAATTCGGAAGCGTTGCACTTTGAAGCCTGCGGAGGATCAAAGTTAATCTCAGCTGGAAAAAAGAATATGTCTTTATGAGAGGTGAACAGTATCCCAACCTGATTTTAACAAAGTGCACTGAGGTGAATCAGTAATCCTACATCTTGCCCTAAACGGCACGACTTGTGATCATTTGCCACTGAAAAAACACAACACTGTGAAATGAGCAACCAGCTCTTGAAGAGGTTTGTGCACTGATGAGCTGCATGTCACATTAATTATGCCAGATACGGGCGCGCTGCGTTCTTGGAGTCTCAGTTCATCTATTTGTAATAATAAAGTAACAGCGAGATTTTCTGCTAACAGAAAGCAACTGTTTATATTACGCATGACTGGATGTACAGTAAGCGCTCTCCAAGCACAACGCTGTGATTTATAAATAGCACTGGAGCCCTCTGAGCTACTGTGGACCCACAGCTGTTTAGAATGTGTATGGAGATATATGCATGCACCCTTGTTACACATGAAGCATTTCATTATTTAAGTCAAAACCCTTAAAAATCTCATACTAACACTTTGAGAATAATTTGTCCCAATTTCTCTTCTTTCCTCTTCTTCCTCTTCTTCTTCCTCTGCACCTCCTTCCCTGCTTTGTGTGTGTGTGTGTGTGTGTGTGTGTGTGTGTGTGTGTGTGTGTGTGTGTGTGTGTGTGTGTGGAACCTGGCACTGGTTTTCAAGGTGCCTGGTTATTATGAAGACATCAGTGTCAGTGTCTTATCAGCATTTGTGTGCATTTGGTTTATTAATTACATCGGCTGGTACGAACTCAGAGCACTTGGCGAAAAATATCAAAAGCTGACGCCTGTGTCATGATTAATTTCGCAGTGAACAGTCTCCGCGATGTCAGTGGTAATTAGGCATCACCCATTGCATAACACACCATGTGTCAGGGTGGGTGGCGTGTGTGTGTGTGTGTGAGTGAGAGAGAAGGAGAGAAGAAGAGTGTGGGGGGTAAAGACACAAAGAAAGACACGGCTTCAACAACTTTTTTAGTGGCAAAACCAAGAGGAAGTTTGAAAGAAATATCGCTGCCTTGCACTTAAAGGTCCAGTGTGTAAGATTGAGGTGAAAGGGAACTATGGGCAGA